AATTCGTAATTTTGATTGGGTGGGAGGATCTCGGAAGTGATCTGCAATTTGTGTAACGATGACGGTCGCTCCTGTTGCATTAACCTAGTATAAATTAAGGCAAATTTGATATATGGCGTGCACTCAATAAAAAAAAAATTCAGTTGATCATTCTTTAAAGCTTCCTGATTTTTAAAAATGTCTATTAGTTCCGTTATTAAGGACCTTAAGGGTCGTCTTGATGGAAAAGTTGCTATTATTACTGGGGCAGGAAGGTTAGATTATATAGCGTTATTTTAACTTATCGTTAACGAAATAATTTTTTCAAATTTCATATTCACAATTATTAAGCGGTATTGGTTTTGAGTCAACCGTTTTGTTTGTGAGGGAAGGAGCCAATGTAGTTGCTGCAGACATTAATCTTAAATCTGCTGAAGCTGTGGTTGAAAGAATAAAGGAGAAATTTCCATTGAATGTTCTTAGACGTGCCGTTGCTTATAAGGTGGATGTTTCCAAGGAAGATGAAGTAAAAAAATTAATAGAGTTCACTTTGAAAGAATTTGGTATGTTATCGTACTAGTTTTATCAATAGACCGTTTATTTACATAATTGTTATGTATCCATGGTTTAATATAGGTAAACAGAAACAGAAAAAGACCAAGTATCAAGATTAGAAGTGGCTGAAAAAGTGAATAATTGTATTGAGAAGCAAAGCTCTTCTTTGCTTAATAATATTGTAAATTATCATTGTAAGCCCTTTAGCTTAGAAATAGTTCCCTTAAATTCGTTAACAATGTAATATGTGAGTTATCCCTAAGCCCTTGAATCTTTTACTTTCACTAAAAGCTATAAAAACTCTAGCATTTCACCTTTCTGAAAAGACATCCTACGGATTCCAATAATTCCCTCACAATACATTTAATAAATCACCTTGACAAACTTATTTAATAAAAGTCTCTGGCGAATGCCTTATATCATATAAATCTTATATTTCCGTGCATAAATTAATTAAACGTACAATTCACCCCGTAACATTTGGTGGTGACTGTAAGATTCTAACTTCTTAACTACAAATATGTTATACCCACCTAAAAATGAATAATGACCAATTCTAACGATTTATGAAGTTGATGACTAAATCGGTTAGTAAAGACGAAAATAAGGTCCCACTAAAAAAAAATAACCTGGTCAAAGTCAAGTACTTTTATGGTACTGATGATAAAGATTCTTTCGAATGGTATGACGATTTTGAAAGAGCCACTGAAGCCAATAATTGGGCCAAAGATTATAGAGTGAAGATCGCATCCAGGTATTTGAAAGAAATGGCAGCTGAATGGTATAAAGAAATTAAAGAAGATATTAAGTATTGGAACAAAAAGGGTGAAAAAAAATGAAACAGAAGTTTTTATTATTTATTCGTAGAACAGTTTGTTTCCAAAGAACAGCAACATTGGTGGCAGATGGAGTTGTATGAATTACAGCAAAAGAATACAGAAAAAGTGGATATCTATGCCACTAAGTTTAAAAAATTACTTAGTCGAGTAAATATTAATAATAGTTTTTCAGATGGATTTGTTGTTAGAATGTTCTTGAAAGGCTTAAAAGGAAATAATACTACTCTTGTATCCATATCCGCACCTAAAAATATAACAGAAGTCATAGCCACAGCAAGACGAGTCAAAGCTAGAAGTTATTATAGCTACAAACCTTCTGAACAATTACATGTACAACAAGGATTAGGGAATGAGTTAAGCGATCTAAAGAAAAAGATTGATGACTTAACAGTAAATCACGTGATTTTGTCTGCACAAATAAAGGATACAAGAATAAATTGCCTCTGCGATAATTTTTATAGAGGGTGACCCCAAAATAATAAGTAGAAGAAAGGAATAGAGTGTAATAAATATGGAGAAATAGGACACTTTGCTAAAAACTGTATATCAAAAAAAGTAAAATATTCATACTCTAATCAAAGAAAAGAAAAAAGCAATTTTAATCATACAAAAACTATTAGTTTTTGTGAAATAAAAAATGATAACAAGGAAGAAGTTTATGTAGTAGATAATGATTATCTATCAAATAAAACTGCAAAACATTCGATAGATCCTAAGTAGGAAAATAGATTAAGAAAAGTAATTAGAATACCCCAAGAAAGGATAACAGAAAAACAAGGTATAGATGTTGAAAATTCTAACTTTATAAAGAATCTACTTTCTTCGAATAATTCCAAAAGAAAGCACGAACCGTCAAAAATTGACTCTTTAATGCCCTATAATGTAGCAGATAATATATTAGCCTTGCCTATTAGTGCTGCAGTAAAACAAATCTTACAATACCCAAACCAACAAAGAAATTTGGCCAAGATATTGAAATGTCCGACCATTTCGAAGAAATTTAATTTTCTTAATCCTGAAGAACAATGTCGTATGACTGCAGCTCAGTACTATATTCGCATTAAAAACAATCTGGTACTGGTAGTGTTAGATTCAGATGCAGTAGTAAGCATAATATCAAAGTGTTTACTAGATAAACTAGGGTTAAGAATAGATAATAACTCTATAACTGTAGTAGTAATAGCAATGGGAGCAAAGACTAGAACACTAGAAAAGATTAAAGATGTTAAAATTATCATTCAAAACATAGTAATATCTACCACTCTACATGTTATAGAATCCTTTGATAATACCTTATTATTAGGAACAAATTGGTTCCAAAAAACAAAAGCTCGAATTCATTTCGACAAACAAAAATTGTACATGCAATATGCCGATAGATCCGCAGAGGTACTAATTTTAAAGAGTGGTACTGAGAGCTTTAAACCCTATGAAGAGGACGAAGTCTATAGTGACAGTGGGAATACTTTTGATGAATTCGACTATGAAGAAGAAAAATACAATAAATTAATAAAAGAAAATATCAAAAGTTGACTCTTAAATATAGTAAAAAATCTAGCACTATACTGCACCAATATAGAAAAGGTAACTACGAAGAAAGATAAGAGGGATAAAGAAAAATCTATAAAAGAAATAATTGAAGAAATAGTTAATAATGAAGAATTAACACTCTAATAGCAGCTTAAAGTGAAAGAATTTTTATTAAAAGAAGAAACCTTGTTTGTTTAAACTCTTGAAAATTTAGGCCGCACTAATGTCATCACCCATAATATCAATACAGGTGATGCTGTTCTGATTAAACAAACCTACTATAGGGCCACCTATAAAGAAAACAAATTTATTAGAAAAGAAATAAATAAACTAAAACAACAAGAGCTAATAATAAAAATAAACAGTTCTTAAACCTTTCCGGTAGTCATAGTACCAAAGAAAAACAGAAAATTACACTTTTGCATAGATTATCAGAAACTAAATTCTGTTACTAAAAAGAATACATATCTGCTTCTCCATATTACCAATCTTTTAGATACCTCCAGATCAGTACAATAGTTTTCCATATTAGACCTAATAAATAGATATTGGCAAGTTGGAATGAGTAAAGAAGATATAGAAAAGACAACATTTATTATGAAATAAGGTATTTACACTTTTAGAGTAATGCCATTTGGTCTTTGTAATGCTTTGAGAACATTCTAACGATTAATGGACACAGTACTGGAGAACTGTATTAGAAGTTTCGTAGTTGTATACTTAAATGATATTAATATCTATTCAAATTCATTTGAGGAACATTTAAACCATTTGAAATATGTATTTGATAAGTTAAGGAAGGCTGAATTGAAATTAAATCCTGAAAAATATATCTTCTTTAGATCTGAAATACATTATCTTGGATATATAATAAGCAAAGAAGGGGTGAGACCAAATAAAACTAAGATCAATAAAGTAAAGAATTTTCTAATGCCAAAAATCTGCACCAACTAAGAGGATTCATTGGATTAGCATTATATTATTGATGTTTCATTAAGGGATTTGCAACAATAGCCTGACCCCTATATAAATTATTAAAAAAAGAAGTCTCTTACAATTGGACTGAAGATCAACAAATGGTATTTGAAATATTAAAGAGATACCTTATAGTAGCCTCTATTTTGAGATATCCAGACTTTAAAGAAATGTTTTACCTCTACACCGATATTTCTGGCATAGGATTAGGTGCTATTCTAGCTTAAAAAGATAAAGACTACAAAGAATATGTGGTTGTGTATGCCAGTTGTGGACTATCAAAAACTGAACATAATTATTCAGCCCTAGAAGTAGAATATTTAGCCATCATGTAGGCTGTTGAACACTTTCATTATTATTTAGATACAAAACATTTCACATTAATAATGGACCATGCCACCATTAAATAGTTACATACTTCAGAACTAAAAGGGAAAAGAGCTTATTGGATCTTAAAGTTACAACTATACAACAATTCTATTATACACTGGGCGGGTAAGAAATATTCCAATATAGATGCGTTATCAAGAATATATCTAAGAAAAAAAAGAAATAAATATAAGAAAAGAAGTGTATATAAAAAAAAAAAAAAAAAACAAATAATAGAAAATAAGAAAAGTATAGAAATAATAGAAATATTAGAATAATATTAAACTGAATCAAGGTACTCTGCCTATAATTCATATATATAGCTTGGTACTGGT